AGAAATTACTCTCAATCTTGGCTGTATGGCGCATTAGTGCCTTTGCCTTTTCCAATGGAAAAATAGTACCAAAAAAAATATATACAAAAGACCCCGTAACAGCCCGTTGTCACCGAGAAGTTAGAATCTGACGAGAAGATCTCATGGAAATCGAAAAAAGCCGATAAGCAAATTTTTAAGGTTGGTTTTTTTTTAATGAAAAAGTTACAATTATCATAGTTTGATATTCGTGTTTAAATACCACCCCAAACTATCGCAACAATGTTACGTGTAACACAAATAAAGAAACATAACAATCAATAGCCTTAAAAACAATGGAAAAATTGAATAAATTACTATTAACGACGTGAAAGTGAAGATAATAGTAGATTACGACATTCATATAGCAAATTTTAATGTACAGTCCCGGAAACAAGGTGCAATAATTGTATAGTACGCGCATTGTAAGAACCAGTGCGTAGCTTAGTTGAAGAGGTACAAGGTATGGGCGAAGAGCGATTGGACTTTTTTTATTTATTTCCCTAATTGGCTGCTCCAGAACAAAACTTATTAAGTGCTTTAGACAAAATTTTACAGAAAAGCCCAAAAACACAAATCAAGATCGCATTTAAAAAAAGTAACAGTATTAGGTAGGCTACCAATCAACGAATATATTGATGTCAGAAAAATTATCACAACTTATATATATATTACATATTTTATGGCCTTACAACCTTTAAATATTTATGAATGAATGAATGAATATACTTTATTGCACAGATAAACACACGAACATAAACACATGTACAGATAAACATACGCACAACAGGCGGCCTTATTGCTAAGTAGCAATTTCTTCCAGGCAACCTTAGGATAGGAAAAGTACGTACTTATGTACATAAGTAAGGTACTGTAGCGTCAGAATCAAAGCACAATATAAGCATTTGCTGGGTATTTAATTTAGTTCTTGCATTAGAAAATTTGGAATAAAATTTGTACTTGTTCGACTAATCTATTAATAAAATTGAATTTTATAAATATCGCCATCGCCAGTATAACCTGGTCCTCCATTAACCTAAATATAAAATCAGAAACAGTCACAGAAATTTATTAATTAAATATGAAGTATAATAATTTATTTATTTATTTAGGATAACAACAGCAAACATTGATAGTTTACAAAAAAATCATTACATATTACAAAGCCAGTAATAGTTATCCTCGAGTTATACATTAAAAATAAAAACAAAGCACGGGATGTCTATAAGCATGATAAAAAATAATACAGACTATATATGTATATATACATATAATTGTGAAACAAATAAGTAAACTAAATACATACACTTACATACAAACAATACTTAATAAACTCAATAAAACTTAGTATAAATATTTATTATATACTATACCTACATATGAATAAATTTAACTTAACATTAAATCATAAATACTTCTGACATAATAAAAATATCAAACTATAAAAGAAATGAATAAATAAATGAACAGAATACTATAAATTAAATGAACTTACGCATCGCGTTTGAAAATTAATTCTTTAATGTTTAACTGAAAAGAATGCTTTTTATCTACAAAGGGATCAACGTCATAGAAATATTTATTGCAACCACTAACTAATCTTGTGAGCACAGAGTTTTTGCCGTAGTTTGTGGAGTGAAATGGTACATGAAAAAGAGAAGTGTGTCTGGTACGACGGGCAGGTACTCGTAAACTTATTTGCTGTAATAAATCTGGGCAATTCAAACGACCACTGAGTACATCAAACAAAAGACCCATATCCAACAACTCACGATGCTCCTGGAGACTTAACAAATTGTACGTACGACAGATATCAACGTAAGGTGAATGATGATCGGTTAATCTACATTTATCATTCAAATGCTTTAGGAACCTCTTTTGGATTCGTTCAATTTGATTAATATAAACACTATAGAGTGGCGACCATATAGGATTAGCATAGTCCAATATGCTACGGACATATGCCGAATACAATACTTTTAAACTGATTGCACAATTAAACGATTGACATAGCCCAAGTTCCTATATGCCATGTTAGTGATACTGTTAACATGATGAGACATAAGCATTTTGGATTGAAAATAACACCCAGGTCCCGCACAATGTGGGTCCTCTCAATAGCGATGCCACTGAAATGGTACGGATATACAATTGGATTTATTTTACGAATAAAACTTATACATTGATATTTACTGGCGTTGACTGTGATTCTGTGACTACTGTAATAATTAGTTTTTAAGTCTCGTTGCTACACCCTGAAAGGGTCATGTACCATATAATTTTTTTTTATTAAACCCTTTTAATGTACATGTGCAATATGGAATAAATAAATAAATAAAACGGCTAATATTTTCAATATCACTAAAGCTCCACTATCCACTAATTGCCAATTTCAATACCTAGTAAAGCACTTTAAAACACACAAGGACGACAAATGCTATGTTTTGAATTAAAAAATTTTAGCTGGTCATTAACCAGACTAGGTGTGCCTTACTATGTTTTTAAAGTTTCGTAATTTCTGATAAATTATAGAATTTTGAAGCAGCTGTCACCGCCATTAGGTAGGTACTTACTGAGGGGAAAAGTATTCCGTTATAAAATATTTTCAAAAACTCTGTCCCTTACTAGGTTTTGCTCTAAAGTAGCCCTAATAGAAAGATCTTAAAACGAAATAAATAATAACAGTATTTTTTAATGACCAAGTGACGGGAAAAGTCGGGCGCCTGTTGGTAAGCACTAATAAAGCGAAAATTGAAACAATTTTGTTACAGTATCGGTAATAACCACACATATTCAGATAATAATAATAATAATAATAACGCACACACTCAACATAGCCCGCACTAGGGAAACCCTGTGTCGCGGGTGCCATGGACACACACATAGACAATCACAAATTACACCCAAACTCACGAGAGAAATAACTGTAGGCCATACAACATTTCTCCCGGCCCGGGAATCGAACCTGGGACCTCTGCTTGGCAGTCCGGCATGGTAACCGTTCGGCCACGGAGGCAGTTATACTAGCGGGATTACATCACTATTGTTTTTAATTAAGTGCAATTAAGATTACTATTTTAATTTTAATATGCTTTAACATTGAAGGAAATTAACGTAAAGAAACTTGCACATCGGAGAAGATGGCGTGAATGAGGACGCATTTTAAATATGTTGTTGTTGAATCCACCCTTACGGGTGCCATTTTTTAATTCCTACAACAAAGCAGCATTACTGTGTGTATTTGAAGTTAGGAAAAAACACTGCAATCACAGGCAAAGGCAATCTAAGATCTTATGCCGGACGTTGGCAATGCGTTCAAAATATTATGCATACCTCATTAAACAGCAAGTGCCTATAAGCAATAGTTACCGTTACTTTAATAAAATATTAAACCGCCTCCCTTTATCAAAATTAAAAGCAATTCAAACTTGAAAATCGCTTATGCTCATACCTAAGGAATCCGCTTACGCTACCGCTTAATATGTACACCAATTTTGGAAGAGAGAGTGTGTTGTTTCGTAACAATAGGTGTAACCTCTATGTAGTTAGGAGGTCATAATTTTCCCGTGCTCTATGGATGTTGGAATTTGGTAAACAAAAAAATTAGAGGCGAATTAAGAGCGTTACACATTTAAAGTCGGAACATTCCATCAATTCTCTCGCCGGTGTAGGCAGAGACATACAGATTCTTTTACATTACTGGCATAGTCTTTCATCACGCCAGTTTTTTACATTATCCTATGACAAGACAAATAAGTTGTGCATCAGATGGTAAGCGACACGCCTGCTTATAACAGTTGCAGTGCACTTAGAGCTTTAAATCGCAAAGATCTGAGGGGCGCTGTCAGTGCGCCCGTCACCCTGAGACGTAAGTTGACTAGTCCTACGTGCCTTTAATGTCACTAACACTCTTACCTTTCAAAACCGGAACGCAGTGATGCTGACATCACTGCTTGGCGACAAAAGAAGATAAGGTGGCAGTACTTCCCCGGATGAGCTCTTTCACAAGGAGCTCTAATGCTACAAAACTACGTTAACGTACGAAAGTAAGTTGAGTTTAAGAAATAACAATAAGAAATTTAAAAAAAATTATAATACTCGATTCTCTAGCCAACATTTGACGACCTCGGTAGCCCAACGGTTTGAATTGTGAGCGCTAGACGCGGAGGTCTCGGGTAGAACAAGTTTGAGAAATGAACTTTGGACGGTTCTGGTCTCTGGGTCGTGTTCCAGAACTCTTCTCAATGCTTAAGTCAGCACTCGAGTATGATTTAAAGCACTAGAAATCGTAGTCAAGTCCTGACTTGAGCATTAAGTAGAGTTCTGGAATATGACACTGAGTGTTCCAGAGCAATCTTTACGAATTTTTAAACGTACTTGGTGTAGATCGTTTTTGGTTTTTAACGACTGCTTGTCGTAGCGCCATCTATGAGAAATCTATGAAAGTTTTTCTTTATTCAGCCAGGCAACTTTACAGTTACCAGCGGCTGACTAGAGATCTTGCTTTAATAATCTTGATCTTCGTATTTATAATTATATCAAAGTAATGGAATAATTGAAAAAAAAATAAATAATTGAATGTCATGGTACTAAAACATCGTAATATTCAATGAACTTAATAATATTAATTGAAGTTTTGTGTTTTCTTGTATTATAAAGAGTGTCCAATCGTAATTTGTGTAATGTGTATTTGCAATTGTGTTAAATGTTTAGTCACAAACATTTAAATATAGTACAAAAATGTTGCTGTATTAGCCACGTAATTATTTTTATGGGACTTTTTACATTGTTTGCGATTTTAAAATTATTGGCGTTAGTAATATGGATTCGAAATTCAATAAAACAATGAAATTACTTTTAAAACAATTTGATGTAAAAAATGGAAAAATATTATCATTTAAAAAAGTATCAATTCCAATTTTTAAAAATCGCATTGTAAAATCGCTAATTTACAGGATTTATAATCAAAAGTTTTTACTTACTTGCGTTATGCACCAAAGGTGCTTCATTGGGGCGCTCTGATGTTTCTCTGTCGACACAGCAAGCCCAGATCATACCTCCAGAACACAAGTCCAAAGGTTTTCCGCCACCCAGAACGCAGGAAATGGACAGTCCGCATGGAAACCGCGAGCCTCTATACCGACAAGTCTGAGGTATCACTGGAAAGGAAAAAAAAAATAATTTAAAAAAATAATCAAATATTATTTTACGTACAATTTAACACTAGAACAAGCATCTTAAATGAGACTATGATTCAATTAAAGAGTACTATAAAGTATTTCTTTTTTTATGATACTCAGTGACGGGACGGACAAGCCGTGCTCCTGGTGGAAAGTGACACACCTGTCCATAACAATTGCAGTGTCATTCAGAGCTTTAAATCGCGAAGAATCTTCGTGTCGTCGGATTTCTATCATTTGCCCTTTCCACTTCGTGCAGACTGGACTAGGAATGCACGATTTTTTGCTTTGAATTGATTTTCAAATCGTAATGGATCATAAAATATGCCACTGAATCGATCCACAGATCGGGTCGTAGGCTCTTAAATTGATCTCATAATAATCTATCAAAATTAATTTCGATAAAAAAGAAATAATTTTGATAGCCTTTTATGCTTAGTAGTGATAGTCGGTTACGACTTACATTTAAAGTGATACTAGCCAGTGAGAAAAGTTCAGAAGGTACCGACAATCGTCAAATTTTGTAGACTTAAAGTACTTAGATCTAAAGTTAGACATCCAAACCCAAATTCCAAGCACTGTATCAACACCTACTCTCACGTTATGTATTCTTTTACGTAGTCTTTGATCTATTCACATTATGTGTATAATTATATTATATACTAAAGACATTATACAACATTAAAACCTCTTTACAGTCACAATTTACTCGTACATCTGTAATTATATTCACACTCGCTCATGCATTTATATATCAAAGCTTATTTTAGATGCACTATTTACACTTTACTGTGTATTATTGTTGTCAACAGTATTATTGTCAACACATAAATTTATGCATAGTCGTTATATTTTTCCTTTCAAATAACTTAATCCCTCTCGTTGGTGCTGACTGAAAACCAGCGCCTTAGGAAACTTTGGCATATGGTGAGTCAGTGCCGTTTCACTGTTATGACAATCATGTTATGTTTTTTCTTTTATGCTTAATGTGTATTTGTGTTATATCAGTGAATAAAGTGTATATCTAGATGTTGTCAAACTGCTTTTTTTCAGGCCAATATAAAATATGGGTTTAGAAAGAGACTGTTTTGTTTAAATTATGAATACTATCGACTTCTTAGGTTTTCGCGATTGTTACACATAGGAATTGAAACTATTTTTCCGGATTTAAATTATGTATATTTAGTCAACCGTGACCGTGGGACCTGTAAAGGGCCCGAGACGTTGGTTTGTTTGAAAAAACAAATGTACGCGATTTAAATCCGGAAAAATAGTTTCATTTCTCATGAATACTATGTAGACCCTTAGTTCCCAAAGTGGTTCAGGTGGTCCCCCAGGGGTCCACGAGGGGCTCGACGGGGGTCTACGTTGACGTGACAAAAAATAATATTGATATGGAATATGGTACAAATGTAGCTGCAGGGGGTCCACGGGAACCAGCTAAATTTTGACAGCTGTCTATGAGAAAAAATGTCTGGGAACCTCTGATCTAGACGATTCGTTTTACCTTAATGTTGAATCGATTTACTTAAAAATGGTATCGAAATGAAACGATAAAAAAATCGCTATATCGTGTACACTTGAATCGATTTTTAGTAATGTGCATCCCTGGACCGGACGCATTTAATTGACTTGGAAATAATGCAGGTTACCTACTATTGCTGTTTATTTTGGTTACATATCGAGGCATGAGCACCGACCTATCGTAACTTCCATTTTTACCTAAATGCAAGTGATATTTTAAAATATAAGGTTTTTCAACAAGAACTTTATTTTGTAAATCAAAAATTTGAATCATTGTCATCTAAATTTATTGTTATTTAGATGACAATGATTCAAATTTTTGTTATATTAAAAAAGTAAGGTTTGAGAATTATGAATGAAAAATGATAACTGATAAAAGGCTGCAATCGATTCGATTGGTTCCGTATAGACTCTGTCCTTAACATAACCCCATAAAAAATAATCCAGCGGAGTTAAATCACATGATCGAGCTGGCCACTTAACGGCTGAATATCGTGAAATTATCCGATCGGGAAATTTGGTATGCAATAAATATGTTTCGGTGGCACACAGCCACATTTATATAAAATATATATATATTTATACAAAACGGACAAGGACTCGTCGACATTTTCCGCCAAAATTACATCAAATAGAAATAAGTAACAGCTAAGTTTATCATTTGCACAACCGTTTTTTATATTTTAGTGTAACCGACAAAATCAATATTAAAAACAATTATATCGTAAGCAATCCCACTTGTTATCGCTACAGACTTAGTATGTCACAATTTTTTCGTTTACCATAAACAAAGTGACAAAAAAGTGTTGCATATTTTTAATCGCAAGTGTTACATTATAAACGTCTGAAAACCTCAAAAATCTTTAGATAGAGTTTGTAAAAATATTGTAAGCGCCAAAAAAGGCTAAACATCCATGGCTTAAAAAAACTTTAGCTGTTACAATCGATTACGAAATTCATTATTATATATACTCAGTAGCAGTAGATTTCCTTATGGAAGAGTTCATAATTTAAACAAAACAGCCTTTTCTGAACCCATATTTTATATTGGCCTCCAAGAAAAGCAGTTTGCCAACATCTAAGTACATTAAGGGTCGTATTCTAGAACTCTACTCAATGCTCAAGTCAGGATCTGAGTATGATTTCAAGCACTGGAAATACAACCCTAATGGCAGGGACTTGAGTATGATTTCGAGTGCTTTAAACCATCCTGACTTGAGTATTGAGTAGAGTTCTAGAATACGACCCTAAGTCTACAATATTTGGCAATTGTCGGTACTTCTGTGCCATCTGAACGTCTTTTTCACTGGCTAGTGTCACTTACTTACACAGTAAATGCACGTCGTAAACCGACCGAAGCCAAAAAGGCTGTCAAAAATTAGTTTTTATCGAAATTAATTTTGAGAGATTTTTATGAGACCGATTCAAGAGCCTACGGATCCGATCTATGGATCGATTCAGTAGCATATTTTATGATCCATTGCGATCTAAAACTCGATTCAAAGCAAAAAATCGAACATTCCTAGTCCAGTCTGCACCAAGTGCAAAAGGCAAATGATAGAAATCCGACGACACGAAGATTGCCGAGCGATTGCAGGCAGTAGCGCTCCTTGTCAATGAGCTCGTCCAGGGAAGTACTGCCACTTTGCCTATTTCTGTCGTTAAGCAGTAATGTGAGTATTACTGCGTTCCGGTTTTGATGGGCGCTGGTGAAATTATAGGCACACAAGGGACTTTCCAACTTATGTATCAGGGTGACAGGTGCAGTGGTAGCGCCCCTCAGATGTTTGCGATTTAAACATTTGAGTGGCACCGCCATTCCGATGGACAGTCGTGTCGCTTGCTAACTACCTACCACAAGCACGACTGTCGTGCTAACTACCATACGCACGACTTGTTCCTCCCGTCATTTAGCATCAGGAGGCCTATGTCCAGCAGTGGACTGCGATAGGCTGATGATGATAATGAATAAAATAACAAAAATATATGTTTTGAAGCGCATATATCTAATAATTCTACCCTCGGTATAACAATAGATGTCCGAAGTAGATCACCGACATGTGGGATGTGGCCTCGACTGAAATAATCCCAACTGTTTTGTCTGCAAATGGGTTAATTCTAGTGGTGCGTCCCTTGAAGCACAAATGCAAAAGGCGGTCCTGCTCGATACGGCACGTAATGTTCGCCAGTTCTTGAACCTGAGTCCCTGACTCCGGCCGACTGTGCCGTTGCCGGGAAATACCGCTTCCCCCAATTTAAAAATTCAAAATTAATCTTTTAGACCTTGAGAGAAGCGAGAGTCTAAAATAGATATAATAATAATAACGCACGTATTCATAGCCCCGCACGAAAGAAACTCTCAGTTGCGGGTGTCATGGACATAGACAACCACAAATTACACTCAAACTCACGAGATAAATAAATATAAACCATAAAAATATTTCTCCCGCCCGAAAATCGCGGCACCACTGCGTGGCAGACCAGCATGGTAACAGTTCTGTCAAGGAGGCAGTGATCCACAATAAAGCCACATGTGAACAAACGTCAAAAGTGCTTCTATAATATGAAGGTGATAGTACTTCCCTGGACGAATTCTTTCACAAGGAGATCTACTGCTACTAAAATTACTTTTAAGTTAAACTTTTTACTATAAAAAACATTTTACAATTTCTCGCTGAGCAATGTCACGGGATAAGCGCTAGCTTTACATAACACAAATTTCAGGTTAAAAAACCCATTACCACAAATCACGTGCATACTATAAATTCACGCAAGATTTACGATCTACGAGATCAATGGCCGTTCGATTATCGATCATTTTCACTGTTACGCGCCGCTTTTACTCTCCACAGCGCGTGCGCACTTTATGTAATCTGTTTATCATACTTTTATAGATTTATGTGCCGTTTTCGTGATTGTCCATCTTTAATCTAATTTTCTTTTAAATTAATGCAGTGATAATTGTATTTAAATTCGTGTTATTACTTGACGTGTGAATGGTGCAGCAGTTTATTGTTTTGTTTATTTTAAAATTTTTATTAAATAATGTTTCACAATGATATTCAGTTATTTTTGTGAAATTACTCCACTAGTTTGTTATAATTATTAATACAAAGATCTAACACTTAGGAAAAATTCCTTCGATCCGGGTGGATTCAAACCAGTGTCTTCCAGCAAACCATGCTAGACGGTAACCTATCACAAGCTCGAAAATTTTAACCAAAACACACCGAAAACCGAATTATAACGAAACTGTTGTTGTTTCAGGATATGTTGAATGTTTATCGCAAAGACACGATTAGGTTCGGTTAGGTTTAAAAGAAAAAACATTTTCCTCTCAAAATTACTTTCGAGGTTATGAAAATTAGACCAAAAGTTATTTCTGGAAAATGTCATTCGAATTATTGATACGTAATCATGCTAGACACTATGCCAACTAAGCCACGGAACGAACCAACGGATCTTACGAATTTTTCTACGTGCTTGTTGCAAATCTTTGTGTTTAGTAAAACCACAGCAAAAAAGTCGTTAAACATAGATCTGCAAGAAGCACATAGAATAATTCGTAAGGTCCGCTATTTGGTTCCATGGCTTAGTTGGCATAGCGTTTGCCACGGTTTGCTAGAAGACGTTGGTTAAAATCCACCCAGATCGAAGATATTTTTTCTAGTTGTCCGATCTTTGTGTTAATTATTATAACAAACTAGTGGAGTAATTTCACAAATAAATAATTATAATCATGGTGGTCATCAATCACAATTCTAATAATAAAATAATTATGATCATGGTGGTCAAACAACGTGACATTAAAATATAAATATGTCAAAAAATAACTGGTGTAGTTGATGATTGTTGTGGATAATTTTCTGATTAGTTTTCCCTACGTAATTTCGGTGGCATTTTTTATTATTTTGAATATTCGAATATGTTACCGTGAAATATGAAATAATACTATTCTCAAACATTAAATAATACTTCATGATAATATTCCACAATATTTAAATATTAAAAATAGTCATCGATATCTAAACTGAAAATTAATCTATTCTGAAATGAACATGTTATCGTACTTAACAGCAATTAAAAATAAACCGATATAAAATATTACGAGATTAACGAAGCCCAATTTAGACCTGCACCTACCTAGATGAGATTTTCTACCTATAATCTAGAATACTGTCCTCGAAAGACAGAAAGAAACAAGCAGCAAGTTCAAAATTTACGGATAAATAACTTTTGAATATTTTCTATGTTTCTCTAATAAAAATAACAATTAAAACATATTTTTTATATTAAAATAAATCAAATCAAAATTATCTTTATTTCGTAGGTAAGCAAATTGTGTTTGAAATTCTCTCATTTATTACCAATTTCTTGCTTATGTAATCCCTAACAGTAATAGTTATCTTTTCTTTAGTAAAGTCGTCTTTACATAATTCTTCAACTTATGAAGGGAAAGGTCCAAAACAGCCTTTGGAATCCTATTAAAGTACAGACTATTTTGTCCCACAAAAGTAAAAAAAGTGAACCTCGGTAACACAAGCTTCCATTTATGCCTGGTATTTAAATTATGTACATACGTCACTCCGTTTATTATAATAATTAGTTATTCAAACGCACAAAACGCATAAAATTGTAAATAAACTGTGACGCAGTTGTCAATATGCCTTAAAAATCTCAATATTATTTTATGTTATACATAAGACATATTTTAAATACAAAATACAATAAAAGTTCTGCATAAAAATACAGATACTTTAATTCTATTTTGTATAGCCATTTTTTTTTCCAAGAAAGTTGATTATTAGATGTATTGTGCGCTTTAAAAAAGTATACTTTAGGAAATACAACTATTTTCTCAGGTCTAAATCGCATACATTTGTTTTTTCAAACAAAATAACGTTTCAGGCCTTCTACAGATCGCATGGTCACGATTGACTGAGGTGGTACAATCATCAACCAGTTATGTCTAATATTAATGCAAACCACCCTATTTTTCACTATAGTTACAAAAGTTATTAATTAAATACCTTATTTTTAAATTTCTCATATAACATTCCAACTTACGGTACAATCATGTTTTACAAATTACTTTAAAATATACTTTTCTCTTTAATTAATATTTCCATACGAATCTATCGTCGGTGCAACATAAAATGTATGGAAGGTAAAAATTCAATAATCAAAACAATTTATGTCGGATATTCGACCATGAGCTTTTGTAAATTACACCTTTAAAAATAATATTACAAAAATAAGAGACCACTTCTGCAGTCCCGATTTTTTATTTCTGTGCACTGAAATTATCATTACAAGAAACCGAGCATCAGTTTTATGGACAACTTACTCTTGGTCAAATAATGTCTTTACAAAAAAGGACCAAATGGTTCTTAAGACGGTTTCCCAGTATCTTCAATATCTTACGTCCCCTTGGTTATAATAATGCCACATGTGGTGTTTCACGTCAAAAATGCTTTTTATTACATGGAAGTGATAAAAATAATACCAACTTATCGCAATCAACTATGTGTATGTGAAATATTATAACTCTCCTATTTAAGAGTCTTTACAACCTCTATACAAGCCATTTGCTTTGGCTGATCCCGCATAACAGTGAAAGTGTTAAAATAAATCACTTTGGAAAAAATATCTAGTAAAATTGAGGATTTACACTGATTACTATATGGTGTGAAAACACGCTTCCTAAAAATTTTCACGTTAGAAAAAAAACATAAAATTACCTCGAAATTTTGCAAGAAAACCGCTGTATTCAATAGGTACTTCACATATACCAATGATTTTTTTTTTATATCAACTGAACTAAACAGAACACGTATACTATCCGATATACATTTTTCAAATGGTTGTAATTTCGTTTGTAAGAAATAAATTCTGAAATAAAGCCAGTGTCCCTACCGCTCGATCCAAGCAAAAAGAAACCGTATTAGAATGGGAAATAAATTGAATTCGAGCTGAGGTATAATCGACTCTGAAGTATAATAAAGTTATCTATTAATTCCGTTCGTACAATCTTTAAACCTCTCTCCTGAAAAGTTGTAATTTTGCAGATGTGACCTTTTTACACCAAACGTGCGATACGTTGATATAGACTTCTTCTACGACTAAGTACCGAGTATTACGATAATAATTTTAAAGCATTTTGATACTTACTTTTCCCCAATAAGTCCATAATAGAATCATCCTCCTGCGATGAACTATAGGAATTATGGGTATATGACCCTTTTCTTCTCCCTAGAGCATCTAATAACAATATGTCCTTTTCCTGATCATTGGCAGGCCGACGCCGATCAGCGGCCTCCTCCTTTACATCTAACTGATCTAAGTCATCTTGCAATGTCAAAACGTCATTTTCACTTTCACAAATTACAAAATCGAACATGGTCACTAATGTTAGAAACAAAATGACCACCGTTCCAAAATTCAAATTCAAATTATAACCCATATTCGCACTTTGAGATCTTCTTCGAATTTTGAAATTTTTCTTTTTTATCTTTCCCGCCAATCCATTGGTTAAGGCACGTTCAGGTACAAACATCACTATTATTTCACTTTTTGTTTTTTATACACATTTTTTATCAGTTTTTATTTGTTATTTTGTTTTTATTGAGACGTCCGCACGGTAGGACGTCCGAATCGGAAGTACAATTGCTTACAACACGGCCACTTCCTTTCAAAGTTGCTTAGAGTTCCGTAAACATTTTTCTGCACAAATGAATGCCATGCATCACTATTTTACTTAATTTTTATTACACACTCTTTTAACCTAATTTCACATAACGATTCTTTTATGTTCTTCCCATTGCCTTGAAATCACAAAGAAAGTTAAAAAAGACAACTCATTCCATTTTCAAATGTGAGTGTTGCGCAATTTTTAATGTAATTACCTTTAGAGAAAAACATTTGTTAATTTGTAAATATTTTTAAAATGATTTGTTCTTGTAATGCAATTTAGTAAATGCATTTTTAGCGACTGTCTAACACTTCTAATAATTTCTACACCATAGGTCTACAGCCGATTTTAAAAGACCGACAAGAATTTTTGTAGTAACTACATCTATGCATACCACGAAATAAAAAAAGAATATTTTTGAAAGAAAAAAGAATGTAAGAATGAGACTTCGAAATTTGAATTTTACTATAATGTAGAGTGATCCTTTTTGATTGCAAGCAATTATATGTTTTATTATGTAATGGTTACATCACAGATTATGATAATGATATAAAAGCCTATGTCATGTGCTTTGAATTTTTATTTATAATACGACTGTGATGTTTTGATCCGTGTTCTGATTTTTTAAAGTTTTTGGATTTTAGACATAAAATAATATATATTTTCACAAGTACACGGTTTTTGTAATACTTATTTGATATACTCAAACATGAATTAAACCTATAACTCTGCAGCTATTTTGAAAAAGAGATGGGTAATAGTAAAAAACGGTTTGACGATTTGAATACGCTAGTTTATACAATACATACATTTTTAATAGCTAAGTTGACCATCGTCAACGCGTTTCCGTGGTTTAGTTGGCATAGCATCCGCCTCGGTTCGAAAATTCGGAAGGAATTATAACGCGCACACACTCATAGCCCTGCACTAGGGAATCCCTGTATCATAGGTGCCATGAACACACACACACATAGACAACCACAAATTACACCCAAATTCACGAGAAAAATAAATGTAGGCCATAAAAATATTTCTACCGGCACGGAAAACGAACCCGGGACCTTTGCGTGGCAGTCCGGCATGGTAACCGTTTGGACACGGAGGCAGCATTTTTTTAAAGTGTTCGATCTTCCACTAGTTTTATAATAATAATTTTATGAAACTTGTGGAGCAATTTCACAAAAAATAATTAAATATCATGGTAGTAAAACGTCGTGCCATTCAATAAAAAAAAACTTGTAAAAGATCATATCGAGTGCTTAGGTTTTCGCGATTGTTACACATAGGAAATGAAACTTTTTTCCGGGTTTAAATCGCGTATATTTGTTTTTTCAAACATACCAACTCTCTCCGTACCACCAGTTTGGGATCCAGTATTTCCTCATAAGACTGCAGTACTAATTAATATGTTTTAATTTATCCTAATTTCCATTCATAATTAATAATAAATTTAACTTAATAAAAATTCATATTGTTACAATAAAATAATTTGTAAAACAATGTAGCGTAAATTGGAATGCTACTTTGTAAAATTAAAAATAAGGTATTTAATTAATAACTTTTGTAACTATAGTGAAAACATAGAGGGTGGTTCGCATTAATGTAAGACAACTGGTTGATGACTGTACCACGTCAGTCAACCGTGACCATGGGACCTGTAAAGGGCCCGAAACGTTGGTTTGTTTGAAAAAAGAAATATACGCGATTTAAATCCGGATAAATAGTTTCATTTTCTAAGATATTACTCACGAAAATTAAAACAAAATTGTATGCAAGAAAGCGTTATACTTTGTGAAAGTGTCTTATCCAGTATTTATAAATAAACTGGCACAAAACAGAATCCTACCCTTTCTCGTGATCAAATATTTAAAATTAAAATTAATCGTAATAAAATATCAAGACTTAGTGGTCACACTCCACGCACCGACTTTCGCTTAGCTTTCGAAAACGCTTTAGTTATTCGAAATTAAAATGTCTTATCTCTAATTTTACTATGGAGATTTCAACTTTATGCGCTACCAATTAGAACTACAGTTGGTTAAACCCTTAATAGAATTTAAGACGATTTAAAATTATTACCAAATTAAAAGTGCTTACTTTATTTGAACTTAGGTTTTAACTCCAATTGTAATAAAGTTCTCTTCTGCTTGACCCAGTGTTTTAAGGACGTTTTAATATATTTACATTCTTTAGTATTTTTTGTCAATGTTGGTAAACACCGAATGGATTTAAAAATAATTTTTGGCTATGACAAATGAAACAAATCCACAAACACATAATATCAGTACAGAGTACTAAAAAAACGACCTCAAAGCTTCGTGGAGTTAATAATAATAACGCACTCAACATAGACCCGCACTAGGGAAGGGTTTCCCTAGCGCGGCACACCCTTCCCTAGTAGGGAAGGGTGTGCCGCGGGTGCCGTGGACACACTCATAGACAACCACAAATTACACCCAAACTCACGAAAGAAATAAATGTAGGCCATACCAATATTTCTCCCGGCCCGGGAATCGAACCTGGGACCTCTACGTGACAGTCCTGCATGATAACCGTTCGGCCACGGATCGCAATTACATCTATTTGCCTAGTTTTATTGGAATCGGTTACCGGATTCATCCCCTAGTTTGCCACCCTTAGAGGTGAAATATTTTGTTCAAATTTAAATCAGACCAATACTGAGGTACAAAAAATACAGTCGAATTGAGTACCTCCTCATTTTTTGGAGTCGGTAAATAATGTGACAGTAGAAATTCGTTTATTTTTCATACTAGCTTACAATTATTTCTAAGATATTTTGTTCAGATATAGACATTAACAAGGCTATAAAAGCAGACGTGTTCAACGTTAGATCTTGTTATGGAACATGGGACGCCATTATCATAACACGTGTGCGACAGTGAAATTGATCGTAGGCATCATATTGACGCTGGAAAGGTAAAACGTCTAACGTGCACTTGGAAAATATTGCATGAGAGTGATTTAAAGTTTTTTTTTAAAACATTAATTGTCACGACTCTAATTTTGTTCGTTCTATGGAAAACTAGAAATTGTCGGCTTTTCCCATCGAGTATATACCCGTAAATAGAGACGAAATAAGGGTCATCCATCCTTGACAACTCATTAGGCAAATGGGCCTTATATCACTTTTAAATATCAACTCTCGTTTGCGCTGAGGCTGTTCCATTCGGCGCTGTGGAAAAACAGCAAAACATCTAATTACAAAGCAAACGGAATCGCATTTTATCGATAATTAAATATATAATTTTTCAATTTTCGTCCATTATAGCAAAGCTCAAGTTAAGCTGGTGGTTTTGAAGTGAAATAATTGACGACACCCGTCAATTGTTTCGAATTCGGGCTGGCCAATCGGAGCGCAGTTGTCACCGTAATGATTTGGCAGAATATTTTTCAAACAAATGAAATGACATTTCGTCTCTATTTCTGGTTATATAATTATTTTTGTGTTAAAAAAATACATTAAATCGCTCACATCCAATACACGTTACATCCAATACATCCATTTTTCAAATACACGTTAGGCGTTTTAGTTTTTACAGCGACAATATAACCATATTTTAGAGGATACGCTTGGTGTAATAAAGCCATAACTGCAAAATGACAAGTTTTTAAGTGAAAGGTTAAAAGATTTTAGGAACGAAATTAGTTGATAGGAGAGATATGAAATGTCACATACGCATAATTTGTACATAATTTTTAGTAATTTTATACATAGTTTTTATTATTTTTATGCCTTTTAAGCGATAAAAATGCTACAAATCTTTTTGTACATACCGCACTGCTATTACAATAGTATTCTAAGTCAAAATTTGTGAAATTCGAGATTATAGTATTGCTGAACAAATAATTTTGGAATAGACATTTATTGCTACGCCACATAGATACAAAAAAATAACACAGACCAGCAAAACAAAATTAAAAGCCTTAATAAACAAAATAAAAAATACAATAAAATAAGACAAACCTGACAAAAACAAAATATAACGACTACAAATCTGCCGCCCGCTAACTAAAATGTGGCTAAGTGACAAAAATTTTTTTTGAGATATCATAACATACTTCAAAAAAGGAGGAGGTTCGACTCAATTCGACTGTGTTTTTTTTGTATGTATATTACGCGATAACTCCGGTATTTGTGAACCGATTTCCATAATTCTTTTTTGTTGGAAAGGGGGTACTTCCATAGTGGTCCCATTTCTTTTTGGGTGGCTGTTCAGGCATGAAGATTCATTTTTATAAACAGCGCCTAAATTTTCTTAAAGGAGCAATTATTTTAATGGTTAATTTTGCTATTTCTCCAATTCAAGGCGTTTTTCTCTCAATATTCTTTGAGTAGTGAGAACCGATTTTTATTACTCCAGTGTCAAGTCCTGTATAGTGGCGAATTTAAGGAAAACTTAGCAAATAGACGTAATTCCACGTATCTACTTTTGAGGTCGGTGTTTTAGTACTCTGTACTGAGATTATAGAATATTAAGATTTTTTAATGATATTTCAGCTATGCATAGTTAGGGTAAGTTCCGATAAGTCAAACACGTTAACTAATGTTAGCTGTTTTTAAAAGAGAATTTTGTGCTCCATCTTTTGCTATTTAGAACGGACATTTAACCATTTGTCACTTAGCCGCCTTTTAGTTAGTGGACGGCAGATTTCACGCCATTTGTGCGCTTGTGGCGTACGCATAAGGACTTCATTCAGTATAAGCCACAGCCATAATTGACCGTGGTACTGGTTATCAATGAGCCCTAATCTCTACACATAGCCAGCTCTGGATAAAACAGTCCAAACTCAAAAACATGAAATTGTTTTTAAATATATTTAGCAAGTAGGAAATTATTTAGATGTCTGTAGTAAATTTTGAGTAATTACTTTAATCATGTTTTCATCAATTCAATTGAGATCCATTTTGGGAGGTGTAAATTTCTTGGGCTTAAAAATATTGACGAATATGGTTCGGTGCAGT